CCCCCCCGCGCAGCGAGAGAGTACCACCTATGGAAAACGAGAGGGAGATAAAAATAGAAACGAGTGTATTGTACCTATCGTATAGGGAAACAAAATGTACGACAGGAGAGACACATGTTGCCTCGTCCAATTATGGAAAATTAATTGGCAAAACGGTCTATCGCGCCTCGGTCATACATATTGCCAGTGTGTGATGCCCCCATACCACTGGATAGACTATTTCGTGTTTGTACCGTTGCATCAGTGCATTTCCGATCAGCCTTTGACAGCGATGTAATAATTAAAGTAATTAACGTACACCGGAGTAAATTGAAACGAGATGACTACTCCATACATCGCATTGACTATCATTTTTTTAAATTAACAAAAATATTTGGCAAAAATGAGAGATTTTAATTTGCCCCGATGAGAATTTTTTTAAATGCAAAATAATGAGAACATGTGTGACGTATGAAATAAATTATTTTTTGATTGCGTGAAATTCACTTTACTCTGGAGTCACGATATCAACTGAATCCTGGGTAGATATTTTATTTCCGAAGAAATGAGTTTATGCGGCGCTCTTGCTTTGAAAAAAACAAGAAAAAACCAAATATTGACAGAAGAGATAATCCACCCGCAGAGCCGTATAAAAATATTCGGATTTCTTCGCATGCACTTTTACGATATTTAATGTACCTCATTAAACACATCTTTATGATATCCATTTATCCATCCCTCCCCGGTGAAACATCAAAGCTTTGACGAGAAAATTCTTCCAAAACTATCGCATCAGCGTATTTTGATTTAACAATTTTCCTCCCAAGGATTTATCTTACGCTGTTTATTTTTTCAAAACCTTCACGCCGCTAATACAGTGACAATACAGATGTTTTCACGTCTAAGGAGCGTGCTAAGTGGATGGGCCGGCGGTAACAGCGGGATACCTGTAAAGGCCAACAGTTATAAGTGCAGTTTTTCGAGACCCCAGAGCGATAGCCGAGGAAAAGACCTGTCGATTATTCCCCCCCGGGGGTAAATTGAAGTCTTCTAACCCCTCCGAGTGAATGAGGAATAAAGAAAGAAAAAAAGTAGCGAAGAGGACTTATTAGTGGAGCGGTTACACTTGACTGGGCGCGCCTTTTTGCCTCGGCCAAGTTTTAAGTCTCGACGAGAGAAAAAAGGCGAAATATTGAAAATTCATAAAGCCAATGGAAATTGATCCCGGGAGAATTATCCGGCATTTTATTTTCCTCATTCTTGCTTCTAAATTTCACTCACCCCGGGATACCCATTTTTGCTCTCCTCTACAAATATTTTTCTCTTTTTTCTCCGGTGAGAGGAGACTTTATGTTTTTTTCGGGTTTTTTCGTTCTAAGAAATTTTTGAGGGAATGAAATACATGATTTTCGTAGGGGAAAATATGCTACTCTAGTCTTATAATAACTTACAAATATAATAAAAATGAATTGAAAAAGAATAAAAATTTTAAAAATGTGAAGATGTGAAAAATTCGTTGAATAAAAAAATTTATATTCCTAAAATCAACGAACAAATCTCTGATATTTTATCCTCAACTAATCTGCGATCCAACTCTCCCCATCATGCATGAATTTTCCCAGAATAACCCGGGATATGACTATATATTCCCATGAAAACAGCTCATCCAGTGGAAATTCGCAGTACTGGGAAGAAAATCGCCCCCCACCCCTTACGTCCAAACTGAATATACACGGTAATCCTGCATGAAGGATAATCCCGAATCCCATGCGTCCTGACGTAGGTCCACCATTTTACCATGAAAATCCGAAATAAAAATATCAACATCCGCATGAATAAAATAAAAACTAATTACAAAATAAATGAAGATTATTTCGTAAGCCGAATAATTACATTTTCCATTGAAATAAATGTTGATAAATATATTATATGAGAATTTATCATTCATACGATATATCACATGCTATTGCTATTATTATTATTATTATTATTATTATTATTATTGAAGTGATGTAAAATATGTAAAAATATTTTTTTCCCTTCTCCACAACATTTTTTTTATTAATAATTCCATTCTCATTCTCATTCTCCCATGATAATCGATAAGAATTATTATTCAAATGCAGTCTCTCCCATAATACCCATTAATACCAAAAATGCACGAGGGGTGAGAATGAAAGAAAGTAAAAAAAACCCAAAAGCAGATCTGGAACCGTTCTGTAAAGAGCGTTCTCCGTCCGCATGTGTGCAGCCATAAAAAAAAAAAATTTGATCGGTGAAAATCTGCTGGGCCTGATCCTAATCCACGCGTTAATCGTTTGGTACTATCCGGTGAGCCGGTCCTTTAAGATTCGTGTTTGCACGGTGATCCCTACCAATCTAATGTTTGACAATGCGTTAAATCTGGGGGTCCATTATTATCCCAATGCCCCTTGCCCCCTCCCCCCACGGCCAACAACCGCCCATTGTTGCTGATCTCCATCATGTGATGTTTCATCCAGCTAATTCCTGTTATTTATCCCTCCATTTTACGTATTGCAGTTTAATATATTTTTTCAAACCGGAATATATTTTTGGATTGGATGGTTTTTATGGATCAATGGAAATATATTCCACGTATGTGGTAAATATATCGTGAAATATAGGAAATAGGTTTGGGCTTGGAATCAATATCGAAATATTTGTGATGCGATGTGGTATTAACGTCAATATAATGCATCATAATACAGCAACTATTGTTATGGTGTAGTTGACTAGACGCTAGACTCATATGCGGAGGTTCCAAGTTCAAATCTCGGCCAAGTCAAAATCTTGTTCACCTCAAAAAAAAAACGAAATATCAATCATCACAATATGAAAATATGTTGCGATATATTAATGATAATCATTAATATATAAATATTAAGAATGTAATCGAGAATATATTCCCAGCAATCTCATGAGCTTGTCATTGTGATTTCGAATTAATTCTCCAAAAATCATCGATTCCTCGAAGATCACTAATTCTCGACCAGATTCCCAATCTCAACATCCTTCTCACTGTCATCCCTCGTCGATATATCAATACAATGCATCATAAATAACAGACAGCATTGTGGCGTAGTCGGCGAGGAGCTAGACTCACATGCAAAAGATTGCGAGTTCAAATCCCGGCCAGATAAAAAAAAAAATACTATTCATCATAAATAATAACATAAACATATTGCGATATATCAATGATAATCATTAATATATGAATATTAAGAATATAACTGAGAGTATATTCCCAGCAATCTCATGAGCCTTTCATTGTGATTTCGAATTAATTCTCCAAAAATCATCGATTCCTCGAAGATCACGATCTCAACATTCTTCTCACTATTATCCCACGTCGATATGTCAATATAATGCATCATAAATAACAGTCAGCATTGTGGGGTAGTCGGTGAGGGGCTAGACTCACATGCGAAAGGTTCCGAGTTCAAATCCCGGCCAGATAAAAAAAACGAAATACTATTCATCATAAATAATAACATAAATATATTACGATATATTAATGATAATCATTAATATATAAATACTAAGAATATAATTGAGAATACATTCCCCGCAATCTCACAAGCCTGTCATTGTGATTTCGAATTAATTCTCCAAAAATCATCGATTCCTCGAAGATCACTAATTCTCGACCGGATTCCCAGTCTCAACATCTTTCTCACTGTCATCTTACGTCGATATATCAATATAATGCGTCATAAATAACAGTCAGCATTGTGGCGTAGTCGGTGAGGAACTAGACTCACATGCGGAAGGTTCCGAGTTCAAATCCCGGCCAGATAAAAAAAAACGAAATACTATTCATCATAAGTAATAACATAAATATATTACGATATATTAATGATAATCATTAATATATAAATACTAAGAATATAATTGAGAATATATTCCCCGCAATCTCATAAGCCTGTCATTGTGATTTCGAATTAATTCTCCAAAAATCATCGATTCCTCGAAGATCATTAATTTTCGACCGGATTCCCAGTCTCAACATCTTTCTGACTGTCATCCTACGTCGATATATCAATATAATGCATCATAAATAACAGTCAGCATTGTGGCGTAGTCGGTGAGGAACTAGACTCACATGCGGAAGGTTCCGAGTTCAAATCCCGGCCAGATAAAAAAAAACGAAATACTATTCATCATAAGTAATAACATAAATATATTACGATATATTAATGATAATCATTAATATATAAATACTAAGAATATAATTGAGAATATATTCCCCGCAATCTCATAAGCCTGTCATTGTGATTTCGAATTAATTCTCAAAAAATCATCGATTCCTCGAAGATCACTAATTCTCGACCGGATTCCCAGTCTCAGCATCCTTCTCACCGTTATCCCGCGTACCAAAGCCCCCGAGAGAGGGTGTCATGGTGATGGGCGTGGCTCAAAAAACCCAATAAAGCCCCGCCTATCGTCCAGTGGCATCCCCAGAATCACCACCGATGGGGGTTGTTTCTCCCCTCTGCACTATTCACCAAGGGGTAGGGGGGAGGGCTGGCATGCCACTGTCACTCTCGAGAAACTAGAACCCATCGTATATCATCGAGTCATTCTCTCCTCCACACTGGACATTAATCGTGCGCCCCTCGGAGTTATCCCGTATAATATTTTTTGAAGACTGTGCAATTTTGTATTTCGTGCTGTGAATTAATCCCAAGTGAAACAATCAAATCAAAATCATTGTGAGAAGAAAAATCAACGATGAGAAATAATCCTAGTGCATCATCATCACCATCTTAAAATCGTCAACGCGAACTAAAAAATTTAATTCATTTTTTTCACGCGGATTTTTTTACCAAAAATATTCATGAATAAAAAAATAAAAACACAAGTGTCTCGTGATAATTAACATGGTGGAAAGTACATACGCCGGTGATTCTCCAAGATCTCACTCGCCAATGACGGAGCCCTCGAGTCCCCTCCATGACACCCCATCAGGACTCCCTTCGAATCACAATCACCATCATCACAATCATCACCACCGTTATCTGTACAACTACTCGCCCGAGAGTATTCAGCAAAAATTGCGAGCGGAATTGTCCGCGAAGGAGCTCTCACGGAGTCCAGGGAGTCCGGAGAACTCGAGACATCGGCAATTGAATAAAGCCGGCAACTCGGCCTCGATGTCATCACCAACGTCACTATTCACTATCGATAGTATTTTAGCACCTAGACCTACAGGTAGTGTCAGTGGAACACCGGCCACGAGCACTAGTGGATTAGCTATTCTTCAGGGGTGTCCGGAGACCGTCGGCTCACCACCGAGAACCGCTATTCATCCACTTCAACAGCAGCTACATCATCTTGCCTTTACTCCAGCTGATTTTTTGGGTAAGAAGATTGTGAATTGACTTCGACTGATTTTAATATATTATTGAAGGAATAACAAAGTATCAATAAAATTACCACGAGGGGATTTGAACCCACAACCTTTAGATTACCAGCCTGCTACGTAAACGATGTAGGCAACGGCGGTTGCCATTATTATTTACTGCTTTCAATGGAATAATTCGGATCGAGTGCATATATCAATATATTATTGACAGAAGCACAAAGTATCAATTAGAGACGCACGAGGGGATTTGAACACGCAACCTTTCGATTACTAGTCTGCTACTTAAACGATGTAGGCAACGGCGGTTGCTATTATTACTTACTCCTTTTAATGGAATAATTCGGATCGAGTGCATATATCAATATATTATTGACAGAAGCACAAAGTATCAAGTAGAGACGCACGAGGGGATTTGAACACGCAACCTTTCGATTACTAGTCTGCTACTTAAACGATGTAGGCAACGGCGGTTGCTATTATTACTTACTCCTTTTAATGGAATAATTCGGATCGAGTGCATATATCAATATATTATTGCAAGAGCAAAATATCAATTACAGACCCACGAGGCGATTTAATGAGGAGACGCAATGTAGGCAACGGCGGTTGCTATTATTATTTGCTGGTTTCAATTGAATAATTCGGATCGAGTGCATATATCAATATATTATTGCAAGAGCAAAATATCAATTACAGACCCACGAGGGGATTTAATGAGGAGACGCAATGTAGGCAACGGCGGTTGCTATTATTATTTACTACTTTCAATTGAATAATTCGGATGGGGTGCATATAAAATGCGGAAATGTCTTATTTTTAACCACGAAAATGACGGGTTTTTCATATTTCGCCTTCTTAGTTAAATCCGTTCAAGTCCATCCGCGGAGAAAACAAAATCCCCTGGGACACGTCGCGGTGAAATATCTTTTCAGACCCTGAGAAGCGTAAACTCGGCGTTTTTTTCTCGCACTTGCACTTGGTATATTCAGGGGGTGGGGGAAAGACTATGAAAATGTGGTGAATATTTTTTTTGGGGAATTATTGTGAATGGATTTATCAGCCTCTGGGGAAGTCAGATGAGAGTTTTACGTTCTTCTTGAGGTCTGTAAGCGAAAGTCGTGGAGAGTTTTTCAAAGTAATGATTAATACCTGAATTCTTGAAGGCATTCACAACTAGTGATAAAACTAATTAACAAAATTACTAATTGAAAAAAGCATGAACAATTGATTAAACGAAATCATTCAAATATGATTTTTGTTGAAAGTGGAATTCATATCCATTTTTTGTGCATCAAAAAATTTTCTACAAAAAATTTGAATTGATATTTTATTACGAAATTTATAATTAAAGAGATAATTACGTAATTAACAAGACTTTATTAATTAATTAATGAAAAAAAACTTGTTCTTCAAGAATAGTTCTTTGAATTCTGTGAACATCTAAAAACGTCAATTTTTTTGCTTGACGTTGTCAAAAAAGTAAATAAGTTACTCCAATTAATCCAATTAATTAATCCAAAAATCTATTCAACGTGAGATTGAAACCTTTCCATCGCAGTAAATTCTCAAAATGACAAAAATTAAGTCGTGATGCTGTCATAATTGTCACGTGACCAAAAAAAATTGTTTATTCTTCTTAACTAGCTGCTGCATACCCCGGCCTCTACTCGGGAGGCTACGTCGCGGCGATGGCAGCAGCGGGAGTGTCCCTGCACGGCCAGCCCGCGTTCTACCACGCGACGCATCCCTATCAGATGAGTCCCAACGGGCCCGGAGTGGGGCCCATGACAAAACGAAAGCGAAGACACAGAACAATATTCACGGAGGAGCAGTTGGAGCAGCTGGAGGCGACCTTCGATAAAACCCACTATCCGGATGTCCTGTTGCGTGAACAGCTTGCCCTCCAGGTCGACCTCAAGGAGGAGAGGATCGAGGTAAATAACAAGCGCCACTGATTCCTCTACCGAGTGTTCCTGGGTTTTTTTTTTG